ATTATTTATTTGTTTGTATAAAAAATCAAACCGCACTGTTACTCAACCTTACGTATTAATTATTATGCATTATTATTGTTTTCTATTATTTTCCTCTACTAGTGAAAATAAACCATCTCAACATTGCAAATACTTATGAAAGTAAAAGTTACATACTATCCAATCATGTCAAGCTCCTATTTCATCCTAAGTAAGTCTCAATAGTCACTTTAATTAATTATTTGTTTCAACAAAAGAAAAAAACGAGTTAGCAATTTATCGACAAATTATTTACATTCACCAAATATTAACTACAAAACACACTTCATACTATCCAAAGAATGTGAAAATAAATATATCATCAATTTAATTTTTATTTTACAATTTAGTTACAATCTTAACGTTTCTTTTCATTTCAAAAGTAATTTTCTCACTCTTGCATGTACAGTAATATGAAAAGAATAAATAAAAGAAAATTCTGGATTTCCACATAAATGGCAATATGGCATCAACATGTAACTTTCTAATTTAGTGATGGATCATATCCGTCCATCCATATTCAGATTTTTTTTTAACACAGTCTTCGACTCAAGTCACTTTCTGTCATAATTTTTTGTTAAACCTTACCCAAGTCGCAAATATTTCGATATATCATAATTTTTTTGAATGTATATATTTTTGTTGTTTTTAATTCGGTATGAAACCATGTATATTAATTAAGCAACACAACTTTTTGTGTGAGATAGTATAACAGTTAGACGAGTCAACTCAATATATATACCTTTTAACAAGAATATTCAATATGATTTTATAACAGAAATGTATAATTATACCATGAAATGTCATAATTTAGTTTGTACTATTTTTTAATCTATGTCATTTATGTATGAGAATATACATATTTGTTAAAAAAAAAAAAAAAAAAAAANACACTATATAAATATTCAACTATTAGACTTGTCTAACAGTGTACTGATTGGAAATATGATCGTATCCTTCTCCAAGTATGCAATGGGACAAAGAAAAGCAATAGTTTCATTAAATTAATGCTCATCTAGTCTCATTCAAATTTAATGGCTTTCAATAAAGGTTATCTTGTGAATTGGAAGAAAATGTTTTGCTTAAAACAGCTGGAGATTGTACACCGCAAACAAAATTATAAAGAAATCACAAAATTAGCAACATATCACTTTTGACCTTATAATCAATACGTGCTGAATTATACCAAAAGGTATTGTATGTGAAGTTGAATATTCAAATTCTATATGCATGCACTTAACAAGAATCCAAGACTAAAAAAGAAAAAGTTTATCCTAATAAGACTGCCATGATTAATTAAACCATATATACATCCACATGTAAATTCATCTTATTTTGAAGTAGGCACACGTTATATTAAAATATACCAAAACTTGTTAGCTAAAAAAAAAGAAATAAATAAAATAAAATTAATCTATTGTCACTTTCGGTTGTACGTAATCTCAATTAATTGCCCCAAACAACTTGAGCTTAGCCTCAGGAACAGGTTATTATAGCATAATAATCAATTGCCACAAGTACACGGTGTCGGTCATTTACCAATAACCTTGCAAGGGCGTGTTCGGAGAATTTGGGCAAGATGAAAGTTCGAAATGGATTGGATAACACAATTATCCACTTTAATAGTTTTAACCAACATTATTACACAATTCCCAACTCAACAATATTTGTTTACTCAGAATATTTTTAACAATCAACTTTTTATGATCATTATTTTATTATTTTTATACCACAATAACTTTAATTATTATATACATTTTATGTCATACTCATTCATAAACCCAAAATTAACCTATTATTCAACCAAATCAATTTTTTCAACTGTCTAACTCACTTTACCAATAAATCAAATATAACCCAAAACTTTTTATACCAATCCAGCTAGCCAAATTTATCCAAATATTCACATGAACAATGCTACAAGTATATAATAATTAAATATACATAAAAGTGTATATAACACTCACATAGAGTGGAGTACACTTGATTTTTATTTTTGGTAGGACCCACTTAATGTAAATGATATATACACTTATATGTATAATATTCTGTACCTATAGCATTTCCCTATCACATTAGAGCAACTTTAACGGGTAAAATCAATGAGGTTTATAAACCTGAGTTGGATAGTGTTACAGTTAAAGAGGAGAAATGGGAGCCTGGGGTTTGTAAAGCGGGAGTGCAAATACAAAGCTGGTGTTGTGGTGTAAATGTGGGCCCCAAACATTTGATAAATGCATATAATATGAAAGTTTGTAGAATGTGGGCCTCAAATATTTAATAAATAGATGCAATCCGAACATGTTTTTTATTCTTTCATTTAGTTTTAATTTTTATTATTTTATTTAGTTATTTTTTCCAAATTTAGTTTAATTTTTATTATATAATCTAGTTTTTTCACATTTTATGTGTAATAAATTTCTCTTTTTTTTTTTAATTTAATTGTACGTAAAACATATTTATTATGATATATAATAAATATGTCGAATTAGTTATTTTTCTTGTCAAAATGCTCACTGATGGGTCTACTTCCAGATCTGGAGTAAACTGGTTGTTATGAGCTCAGATCTGCTTGAACCGCTTCCTAACCGTTGCCAGGCCGCGAGAATACCTGCAAAAACTCAACGCCGGAGGTGTTTCCGGCGTAGAGCCTCCGACGCTCAAGTCAGTATGTGAGTGATGAGGAAAGGCTGCGCAGCAGCTATAGGGAGAATGGGAATGAATGAGAGTTAGGGTTTTGGGGATACCTCATCTCCTTTATATAGAAGGGAATACTTACTTGAAGTGCCCAAAATGCCCAAGTCGGTGGACCTAGAAGGTCCAAAATGCCCTGGTCGATTCGCCTCCCCCTGTTGCTGAGTCATCACAAGATTCCTTCTTATCCTTGGTAATGTGTAGAGATTTGGATATGTTGCAAGTGTGGTGAATCGTCTTCGCCACTTTGATCATCGAGATGTACAGAGTCGACCTCGAGAACTAGGAGGTCGACTTACGAATATATGCGGTTTCGGAGGCTACACCTGGTTTAACTCCCTGCGGTGGTCGTCTCTTAGAGAGTCGTCATGAGGAAGTCGACTAGTGGAAGTCGACCTAGAGTATCTGGATGGTTGGGAGTTGCATTCTTGATGTCCTTCTAGTATGAGGTCGACTAGCAAAAGTCGATAGTTAAAAGTCGACTTGTGGGAGTCGACTAGGCCAATTTCTGCCTCCTTGATCGTTTTTGGTAGAATCGACTTCAGGGAAGTCGACTTGAGCATGTCGACGAGTCACCTCGATATGTGAGTCGTTCAAATGGCTCACCGGTCGAATAGAAAGCCTCTTAGACCGGGTTATCCTTATGTGACTATATCACTCATATTTATTATTATTAAAAAGAGAATTAATAAAAATACTATGAAATATAATAATATTTAATCTAAAGTATACAATGTAGTTTTATACGTTAATTATGAGTAATTTTTTTTTATTAAATATGAATTAAATTGATAAATAAATTAAAGTAAGTGGGAAACATGCGGGGTCCACTAAAAGAATATTTGTGAAATTTATGGTTATTGAAGGTTTGTGATATTAAAAGTAAGAATGAGGTTTAGATAATGTATAATATTGGGAATATAAAAAGTAAGGTTTATAAACCTTACTCATTAAAGATGCTCACTAAATTTAATCGCACTACTTTTCTGCCAAAAATTTTCCCAACCAAACACGGCCTAAACCTCTCCCCACCTGACAAGATCCAAGAAACATCCTCAATACCCACTTCGACCCGCACACGTGTCCACCCCAGGTGTCACGATTCTCCACCAGCCATGTATCCAGTCAAAACCCGCGTAGATTCTGCCATGTGTCCACAAAATATCTCCGGCTTAAACCCTCACTTATATCCCCTCAACCAACTGAATTTCAAATTTCCCCTATTTTCAGTTTGCCACAAAAACACCGTGTAATTGGATCACCAAATTGACAACAAGAATTGCACAAAAAAAAAAGCAATCTTTTTCCTTTTCCCCCAAATCAAATGATTCAAAAATCCCACCGGAGCGACCGCCGGTTTCTTGAATTCCCGGCGGTCCATCCCTGCGAAGGCATATCTCCGGTGACCCTTCTGGAATCTCTGATCAATCTCTCAAAATCCATCTGCATCATACACCAATCCAAACCCTTCCCGACCCATCGAAAAAACGCCCGCGAAACATCCCGCCAGATTTCGATCCTTTCAATTTTCTTCGAGGAGATTCGCGACCAACAGCCGGAAAATTTTTCCGACGGCTCCATCGTCCTCTGCCTGTCGGATCTCCACGTGGCGTTACAGAAAATCCGATTCTTGTTCGAGGACTGCACGCGGGATGGCGCAAAGACGCTTATCTTGATGAGGTCCCATTTCGTGACCACCCAATTTCGGGCCCTTGTTCGGGCCGTGGCAACGGCCTTTGACATCCTGCCTCTTAGCTCCGTCGAGCTTTCTGGCGAGACTAAGGAGCTCGTCGAGATGCTCTCCAAGCAGGCCCGCAAGGCGAAAATCGAAGTCGACCCAGGAGACGAGTGCGCCATGAAACGGATGATTTTAGTCTTGAACCAATTTGAGAATAAGCTCGAGCCCGACCCATTTATAGCCCGGCGGATCTTGGCCCATTTAGGAATCAAGACATGGGCCGAGTGCCACGAGGAGGTTAAATTCTTGGACGAAGAGATTCGGGCCGAGTATTCAAACGGTAACGAAAGGGAAATTCCTCTACTGAGCAGCTTGCTCGGGTTTTTGAGCTATTGCAGGGGCGTCCTGTTCGACGAATGCGATTTCGTGTGTTCTGAAGTGTCCGAGGGGCGAGATAGTAATTTCGAGGTGCTGAGCTGTCTGAACTTGGAGGATTTCCGGTGCCCGATATCGTTGGAGCTGATGACTGATCCAGTCACTGTGTCCACTGGGCAGACTTACGATCGTGTCTCTATTCAGAAATGGCTTAAGTCGGGCAATTTGATCTGCCCGAAAACTGGCGAGAAGCTCACGAGCACTGATTTGGTACCAAACGCGAGCCTCCGAAAGCTGATTCAGCAGTTTTGTGCCGAGTACGGCGTTTCCCTCTCGAAATCGAGGAAAAAGAATCGGGACATTTCGAGGACGATTTTGCCCGGAAGCCCGTCTAACGCTGAGGCGATTAAGTTTCTGTCCGGATTTCTTACGGTCAGCTTAGGTTTCGGTAATGAGAGGCAGAAGAAGAAAGCGGCCCACGAAATTCGTCTTCTTGCAAAATCGAATATTTATAACCGAACGTGCTTAATCGAGTCGGGTGCGATTTTTCCTCTTCTTGAGCTGCTCTGTTCTGATGATCCGGCAATGCAAGAAAATGCGATATCGGGTTTGCTGAAGCTGTCGAAGCAGCCGAAGGGGGCAAAATCGATAATCGAAAATGGCGGGTTTAGTTTAGTTCTTCAAGTGCTGAAAAATGGGCTGACACCCGAATCCAAGCAAACTGCAGCCGCCACTATATTCTACCTCTCGTCATCTCACGAGAATCGTAAGCTGATTGGAGAAAATAAGGAAACTATTCCAAGTTTGTTGGAACTGGTCAAAGAAGGGACTTCTTGCGGAAAGAAAAACTCGGTGGTGGCTATATTCGCTCTGTTGTTCTACCACAAAAACCGGCAGAGGGCAATTTTGGCAAATGCTGTGCCGATTCTAATAAAGCTATTGGAGTTGCCCGAAAGAGCCGAGCTTAAAGCTGATGCCTTAGCCGTTTTGTCTGCATTGGCCGATAGTGTCGAAGGGTCGTTTGAATTCGTTCGGGCAGAGGGTTTGACTTTGACTTTGAGGTTGTTGCATTCTATGGAGACACGCGCGAGTAAAGAATATTGTGTCTCGATTTTGCATTCTCTGTGCCTTAACTGTGGGCAGGAAGTTGTGAGTGTTTTGGCTAAGGATGTTTCCCTTATGCCGGCTCTTTATACTCTCTTGACGGATGGGACTTCACACGCTGGTAAGAAATCGCGCTCGTTGATCAAGATTTTGCAGAGGTTTTTCGAGACGAGGTCTTCTTGTTTGGTCCGGGAGGAGATGAGGCAAGAAGTACAACACGTTGATGCGCGGTGAAAACTTTGTTAAGAAACAGAACTTTTTAAGAATCTTTGTGTAAATATGTTTGTTGTTTAGTACTATGATAATACACGAATGTGGATTGATACGGGAGGCGTGAGACTCGATTTTTTTGTGAGCTGAAGGCCTCCGAGGTTTGTTCGATATGGATCGGATTTATGTAGTGTGCTAGGTAGTTTGTAAGATTATACGAATTAATGTATCAAATTTTTTTGTTGTGATAATGCAGTGTGATTCAAATTGTTTGGCTATATGTAAACAGGTTACATGGGATTGTAATGAATGATTCTTTTTGTTATGTACAGATTTGTATTATGTGCAAGATAACTTATGACATTGTTTCAGAAGAAAAGATACAGATACAGTGTTGATGGGGGCTATGTTTGGGGTTTATTTATGGATCAGATTGTTAATAAGTTTGCCAATGTTGGGGTAAAAGTGATAATTTTGTATTTCTAATGGGGCGTTTGGAATTTGCACAAATTGCTCAGACATATAAAACGGCGTCGTAAGACTGCGTTCCAGAATAATCTTGTTAATGCGGTCCAGTGCGTTTTCTATTTTTCTCGGAATAATACCCATCAAATAATTCGCAGTTTTCATCCTCTGCGCGTGCGATAATCCATGTAAGTTGGTTTCTCTTTTGATTCAGATTTTTTTTTTTTTCTGAAAATATGTTAGCAATCGTTCGGGAGTTTGGTCGAATGGGGGCTAGGGTTTTTAGGGTTGAGCTGAATATTTGTTCTGTTCGCTTATGGTATGTGTTTGTCTGTTTGTAAATTTTGTTGGGCTGTCTGGTTTGTTTGTGTTTGCAGATTGAAAATGGCGACCGAACAACCTAAACCCGCTACAGAGGGAGCAAAGATCGATCTTTTCGAAGACGATGACGAGTTTGAAGAGTTCGAAGTTGATCAAGGTGAACTTTTTTACTTTTTTTTAAAAAAAATAAATGTACAAACTGATCGCAAATTAGGTTTTCAATTCACCGTTTTTATGCACCAATAGAGTAGAACGATTTTTTTTTTTTTTTTCTTTATGCAGCAAAATACGGACGAATATTTAGTTAAGGTTAGAGCTGTTCAATGAAACGATCCGCTTTGTGTGGTCGGCTTGTTAAGGCTTCAGCTCAGTTTGGCTCAATTGATCGAGCTCGTTTAAAGCTCATTTAGTTAATGGCTTGGCTCGGCTAGGCTAGGCTCAACAAGGCTAGAAAAGATGAATTTTTATATAATTTTCTATGGTTCACCTCGTTCAAGCTCAAGTTCAGCTCAAGCTTGGCTCGTTAATCTTGATAAACGAGCGTAATTCGAGCTCGATTGCTGACTTGTTTAGTTAGTGAGCCGAGCCAAGCTCGAGCTCATGGACCATGAGCTCAAGCTCGTATCGGTTCATTTACATTATGTTGTTTAATCTTAGTTCTTTGGTGATTTATCTGAATAAGCTTTTTCATAAAGCTCCCGATTTGTTAATGAACTGCACAGAAATTATGTTATAGCTCTGCTATCTTGGCTTTTGTTCTGTTAACTAGTAAATCATAATACATTGTCGATATATGTAAGTTCTGTTCGATTTGTGTGTAATAATTGTCCTGATTTCGTCTCCTCACGTCCACGCTGTAGAGTGGAATGATGACAAAGAATTAAAAGAAATTACTCAGCAATGGGAAGATGACTGGGATGATGATGATGTCAATGATGACTTCTCTCTTCAGTTGAGGAGGGAACTCGAAGGCAATGCTGAGAAGAAATGAGGCTAAGTTTACACAACTTGGTTTTACTTTTACCTGTATTTGCCGTCGAATTTTTATAAGAAACCGTAGAGTTTTGTCTTCTTCGTGCTGGTTCTTTTGCTGGGATCTTTAATAGGTATCACTCTACCTAACTATAGATCTGATATAAACCGTGCCTTTCATTTACGCTTTCGAAGTTAATTATGTGAGAGCCGTGATGTTATTACCGGATGTTTTAGTTTGGTGATTTGTTTACTGCACAATTAGTAATTACTTGGGGTTTGTGTCTATTTGGTTGGGTTATGAGTTCAATTATTAATATTGACCCTTCTGAACTATAAATCTTTGCCATGTTGCCTCATTTTTCTCCTTCATTATGGGACTATGGATACCGATTAACCTTAAGTTGGTAGCTGTTATTTTAACTGAGATGCGGCAATTGAAATATTTTTTTCCTTTTGCTGTTATGGCCAGACTTCTACATTTTGTGCATTCAGTTCTTTTCTATTTGTAATATTTTTTGAAATAGTTCGATTTTATCTCCGCTAACCCATGGTTCAATCCCTGTCGAACATAAACATCGTTATTTTACCAACATAGTTTGGTTTGAATGCATGGGCTCGTTTGTTATTGTTGATTGGATCAAACGATATTAGGAGGATGAGATGTGATAATACTGGTTTAGATACCAACTTATATATGTTTTTCGGTACATTAGTGAATTGGAAGGTTTTAACCTTATCACAAGCACTGACACACACACACACACACACCGGGTGTGTGTTAATCCTGAGTGAAATTCACCATCGAAATGGGTGGTTGTTTGGAAACTATCTTGGAAAAATGTAATTGAAACGCTTCCACCACATGGGCTTTGATCCATGATGCCAAACGATGGATTAATCCAAGACAAAGGTCATAATATGAATCTATCAAGCATAATCAATAGGCCTCACGTGACAAATTTGGAAAACAAGTTTGAGTCTTTCAAATAAGATGTAGTGTTATTTAGCGATTAGAATTCTGAAACTAGTCGAATGGCTGCCAACTTTTTTGTGGATTGAAGGTGATTGTGTTCTTTTGGTGTGAATGTTGAATGAATAGTGAATAGACCTTATGAAGTTTCAAGAGAGAGAGAAATAAATGTGTTTTGTTAGCCTTTGTACTTGGTCATTGTATTGAATGCAAATGTCTTCGTCAACATTTATTACTCTAATTAATATAATCACGTATAAATCAAAGGGGTACATTAGAGCATCTCTAATTATAAAAATCCATATTTAATTAGTTGTAAATTGTCAGACTCATAGTTGGGCTTAAGTCTTAAATGTATGAATGAATAAATAAATAAATAACTTAATCACTCCAACGCAACGTTTTAAAAGTTTGATGAAAATGAAATGTAACCAAATTTATGTATAATTTTTTATTACAATAATAATTTATATGTAACTTATTCGCTCCTTCAGTCTGGGATATTCAGTCACGAGAACTTGATACCAAATCTATCATTATATAAAAAGAATAACCATTTTACAAATTTAAAAACTTTTTCCCGCCAAAATCATTAAATATATCCTATATATAGTAATTGTTGGACAAATCTGAATAGGCAAAAAAATCCGCTCATTAATTGTGCAAAGATTTGTTTCTCTTTTTCATGTTTCTTAGTTTATCGTTTTAACAATAAATATTTGTTTTTCTTTTTCCTATTTTTAGTATAAATCTATACGAGCTTATCTCTTCTGTTACAAAATCCCATTGCATACGATCTTAGGTGTTTAAAAAATCTCATCTCTTATCTATACAGATTTGAAAAAATAAAATAAAATAAAAATCAATTCATAATTACTACTAGAATATCATTATCTTTAAAAAGAAAAATAAAATAAAATATAAACCAATTCATAATTACTACTAGAAATCCATTATCTACTTTAAGAAGCTAATTTTCATCGGTCTAATTACTAATATTTTTACAAATATTCTAAGTTAACCATACAAAAAAGTATAATGATAATTTTGAAATGGTGTGTAATCAAATTTTTTTATATTCTCTTATACAAAATCATTTTACATTGTTTGACCCCGAATTTTTAATTTATAATTATTAAGTATTGTTTATCCTCCTCTTTTATTTATAATTATTTTTTTTCTTCCTCTTTTTAAATACGATCAATAGTAGTTTTCACTTCCGCCATTGACTCAAACTCGAGGTCTATTTATAATATTGTTAATTTAATATTGTTCCCGTGCATCGCACGGGGTAAACACTAGTTAGTATACACACAAATAATATTAGAAAATAAAAAGAAAGCAAATATTTTAATTATATGTTCCAGGCTGAAGGAGCGAATCTTATGTTACTATGTATTTTATTTATGTCGTGCATATTATATTGCTGTCACAGATCTGAAAGTACTTTAGATAATGCAGCATGAGAAAATTCAAAATTGTGTTGTGTATTAATTATTATTGTCCTGGATCTTAACTGAACAGTCTGAACCGCGATTGCTGAGGCGTCTCTATACAAAATTACAAAAGCACTAGATTGGGATACTATTTGAAAAGGTCAGAAGTTTGACTTTCCGTCAATTTGATGGCTGCTTCAACTTGTACAAAAACTTTAATTTCATCTGAGGTCATATGAATATCTATGCCCTCAGAAAACTTTTGACTTCTTTTTTGTATTGATTTTTATTTTGTATTTTGATGTATATCACAATGTCAGTTTTAAGTAAAAGGATAATCACAAGGAAATAAAGGAGTTTATAATTTAGGAGAAAAAGGAAAAGAAAATCACTGGGCATCAGGTATTTGAAGCTATCTGGGTTTGGATACATCTTAGAGCATCTTCAATGTTATAGCTTTGAAAGAGAATGATTTTTAACACATGTCAATCAATAATTGTAATGTTAATCCATGTAGAAATAATGTTAAAAGAGTAGAAATTTGAATCAAACTAGCATCTCCAATGCATCAATTTGATATATAATTATTTGTATAGGTGGACCAATTAAAATAATCATTAATACAAGAACAATAAAAAATTAAATCAAATATAAAGTGAATTGATTAGTCATCATGTTTAACTTGGTGTTAGATATTAGAAAGTGTGTTCAACATTGTCAACATTAAATGCTATCCATCTCATCATGAAAGAGTTCATAACAAGATGCATTGGAGAATAAATTAATACCTCACTTTCAAAAGTTGATGATATGAATGAATGTTTACAATGTCAAAAGCCACATTGGAGATGCTCTTAGATGTTCTATTGGGATATGGTCAACATTATTACTTGACTCCATACTTGAAAGTTGAAACTAAGATAAAAAAAAACTGAAAATGAGTGTGGAAAAAATATGATAATTAAAATTAATACAAACCTAAATTACCTAATAACAAATTAATTTGTAATGTTAATTTTTTCCCAGACAAACAAAAGTATAATACAGATATACAAGATGCTATTGGAAGATTTGACCATTGCAGTAAAAGATTTTTTCACCGCTAAATCTACATATAGATACATATATACAGCTAAATCGACATACATATAAATACATTATACATAGCAATATGAGTAATGTATAATTTCATATAATACATGGTCATAAATATAATTTCATAAATTAAAGTACAATGACCAATAGAGGGTAGATCCTCATCAATTCAGTAATTGCTGACATTAATAATTTCCAAAATATTTAATGCTTATTAAAAGCAAAAAATAAAATAAATAAATAAAAACGTAACGTACTTTGACTTAAATAGTTGATACCCCTTCCCCTGTTCCCCACCGCCCGTTACCTCTCAAAACGACGCCGTCCCACCGCACACCTCCTCCACCAGCAAATCCAACGCGCACGTGGACGACCCCCCCTCCCCCATGCTCTCACGCGCCGCCCTCCCGTACTCCTCCNCCCGCAGTGGCTCAAGAAGCCCCCAACCCCGCCGTGCCGGAGTATCCCGAACTGGTCAACCCACCCCTTGACCACCAATCCCCTCCCGTTCACCCTCCCCTCAAACCCTAACCCACCCAAAAACTCCGCCTCTCTCCACCCCAAAACCCACAAGAAATTCACCATCGAATCCTCCAAACCCTTGGCAATCTCCCTAATTTGCCCCTCCGAAACCCTCGCCTGAGTCCCGAACGCCACGTACAAAACCGGCTCCCCCTTCGACAACTTCCGGTCCAAAAACTCCACGTACCCAGGCCGTTTCCCCTCGAAACACGGCCCATCGTCAAAAATCGCCATGCAAAGCGGGCCCACGCAGTGGGCCTTCGGCCCAATCCTCTGATCCCAATACTCGACATACTCCCCCTCGAACTCGTAAAAACTATTGACTATAATCCCGCGACTAGCGGCCGCGGCCGCCAGCTGCTCCGTCATAAAGTCAACGTACGGCCCAGATGGGTCAATCTCACCGAAAGGCGGGTCGAAATCGTTCCTGGTCAGCATCAGACCAGGAAACCCTGGCATCGAGAAAGGCTCGTCTGGAGAAATCGTCCCCACGTGGGGCCGTTCTCTCCCGAGCACCTGATACATCGTGCTCGAAAAGCTCCCCATCCCAAAGAATGCATACCTCGGGATGTGGAATTTTTGGGCCGAGTCGAGGGTCCAACCGAGGAATCCATCCGAGATGATGCACGAGACGGGCGGAGCTAGGGTTTCTAGAAGCTTCTCGAAGATGGGTTGCATGAGTTTGGTGGATTGGAGGAAAGGGAGGAGGGACTGCATGGAGGGGAGGTGTTGGGTGTTCTCGACGCCAGGCGGCACGCCGTCGATGTTTTTGGGGAAAGGGAGGTCGAGAATCGAGACGCCGGAGCCGGAGAGGGCGGAGCGGATGGCGGCGGAGTTGCCGGAGGTGGAGACGACGGTGACGGCGGTGGAGGAGGAGCGGCGGCGGAGGAGGCGGGAGAGGTGGAGGAGGGGGATGATGTGGCCTTGGGACATGAAGGGGAATATGACAAAGTGTGGCCTAGGGAGAGAACCCATGATTTTTTTATTTTTTAT